TTAGTTTATTTTAAGTTTCATTAATTCTCACTTTAAGACTTTGTGAAGGTGGTGGAAAAGATCTCTACCCGCCATAGATTAGTTTACGTTGGATTTTGTCGTTTCAGAGTCGCGACTAGGGTCCACGTTAGATGAAATTTTAATAAACAAAAAAAAAAAAATTTTAACACAAAAATAGCATGTTTTTTAACTACGACAGCTACTTGCACATAGAAGATAAGTCTTTGGAACAATATTTTTTTTTTTTTAATTTATATTACGTATTATAAGCTTTAATTTGATATATGTTTAAAGGGCGCAGTATTCCCGGAACATTTTCAAAAGTTAAGTTAAAAAGGTTGAGTTTTGTAAAAAAAAAGTTGCTATTTTGAAACCTATTTTAAGGGCAGGTAAAGGATCAGATTTACAACAATATTCTATCAAATAAAAGGGAAATACATAAGGTTTCAATATAAAAAAAAATTATTGTGTTTTGTTCATTTTTCAATAAATTATGACAATTTTTAGAAAAAAAGTAAAAAAAATGTCGAAATTGATTGATTTTAAAAATCGTAATTTTTAGGGGATTTTCACCATTTACAGTGAAACGAGGGAAAATATTAAAAAATTTTAGGGTAATGTCTTCAACTAGATATGATTTGTGATCTTTTGACGTAAATAAATGAACACATCATGGTAAAATTAATATGTTCACAGCTTCGCATCGAAAGTAATAATATGTATTATTAAGAGTAAAATTAATAAATTACCGAATTTTTTTTATATAATCACTAAAATCTACAAAAAAAAATTTAACCCACCTTTTAACTTAGTAACAATTAAAGAGACCTAGTGTTGGTCATTAAATATTTACTTCTCTTATGTAAAAAATAGTTCCTGCGCCCCTGATTAATATTGTAAATTGATTACAATATTTTTTTTAAATATATGTTAATATATTTTAAATGTAAAAAAAAAAATTTTTATTTTAAATATTGTACAATTTTCAACATAGGGAATTATTGAGAGATGCTTACCATACTGGACATCAACATTTAAGTCAGTGTAGAAATCGATCATTTTGTTAATCCAGATTGTGAAATATATGAGGAAATTATTAATGACTAATTCGAATACTCATCAGTTGATTTATTTACAGGAGTTGTATGAAAGGTTATTCATCGCGAAGACTGATTATGGAATAATTATTAAATAATAGAGTTTAAATTCAAAGAGATTGATAAATTTCAGTTAATAACTATTGCTTGGAAATATCAAAAACCTTTGTCGCCATCTTTATCGGACGCCCACACAAGGAGGACAAATAAGTACATTCCTTCAAAATACTGAATAAAAATCATTATCATCCAATAAATAGATACAGTTATCTATCCAAAATGTTAACTAAATAAAAATTTTAATAAAATCAAAAACCATATATTATTATAGTCAAATTGACAAAGTAAACAATAGAGAAGCCACTACATAACAAAAAAACGGTAGCACAGTGGCTATATTGGAGACATTACATAGTTAGGTCCAGTATAGATTTAATCTGAAAGTGATTAATATCACTATCATAAGAAACGCTTCGATGCAAATCTGTAGATAGTGTTTAATTTTAAAAAATTGATGGATAATTGCAAAATCAACATCAACTTCTATTAAAATAAAATACAAAACCCATAATTTTAATAAAAAAATAGCATATTTTTGAATANTATAACTGTCAGTAATCAAGTCAATTAAACTATAGAGATAGATAAATAAATTGTATTAAAATTCTTTACATAAAATACTTTTTGCTAATTTTACAGAATACGTAACATTTTCATTATAATGGATTGATTAAAAAAACTGAAAATTAATAACTTTATGGTTATGAGAGCACATATTTTTGATGAGAAATAAGAATATTTTCAATTACCATAGGACTACATATTTTTATTTACTTATCCATTTTATATTACTAAAAATTGGAAACGTATTAAATATTCGGATATAACATATTAGTGGAATCTTATTTCGGACACAAAGTTACTATTATCGAGGCTAAACACATACTGACGAAGGTACGTCACATACATAATCGCAATGTTTTAGTAATTCTTTTATGTCTTTTTGAATTTAATAATTTTTAGATTTAATAATAGATAATTTAATAATAGATTAATAATATTTTTTATATAGTTTTATTTTAAATAATATTAGCCACAAGTAATCAATTTTAATTATATTGTAATAAATGTTCATAAACTTTATATCCCTTCGAAACTATTGGGTTGGCTAATGAGCATTTGAATTTTAACAATGATAAATTGTCAAACAAAATTTAAATTTCAATATTTAAATAATTAATTCATTAATCTTCATTGTAAAATTTTATCTCGTTAAAAGCGCGTACCAGCGGCATCAATTTCCTCTGATGCTAGCAAAGTACAGCCCGCTTATTTTTTCACAACAAACTTTGTAAAACGCGTACTGGTGACAAGACTTTTTGTACGAGTTAGCCAAGTACTGCCCGTTTATTATCTATGTTTAATGATAAATTCATCGTTGTTG